GGTCCAGACAATATTCATGTGGAATAACTGGGGATTTAGACTAGGGATCCCCAATCTCTGATCCACGACTACCAGAGATGATATTCAGCAGGTTCTGACCAGAAATTTTGAGCAGTTCGGAGAACCGGCAAATGCCACCTCTGACTGTTCTCTGCCTCCCAAGTCCCAGCTGATTGGCTGGGTCTTCTTTAGTTGCCCTGCACAGGAGAACGGATCTGGAAAGCAGGTTAGTGGGGTGGGGAGGGAATATAGATTTGGCAGTACCCTTCCCCCTGGAGTGGGGAGGGAATGGAGATTTTAGAGTAGCCTTGTCCATGCCTACCAAGAACCGGTAGTAAAATTTTTTGAATCCCACCACTGACATCCAGTACTGGCCCGTGGCCCCGTTCAGAAGTGGGCCAGGCAAGCATGCGCAGCTCCACTCAGTGTGTGTCAGAGAAGCACCCCACACGCACACAGCTCTATTTGCACAAGCAGCGTTCGCTCGTGTGCAAAGCTCCATTTGCATGAGGGCAAGTGTACGTGCCCCTCACACAAATGGAGTTGCGCACGGCCCTGCCACTCACCCAAAACCATCCCTTCTCTGTCCCCCACCATCAGTCTGCCAACCCAGAAAGTTTGGGGGGCGCTGCCTTAAAACATTGTCTGGTCTTGTCATCATTTAACTGAAAAATACAATTCACCGCCCAAAGGCTCCTCCTCCTCCTCCTCCTCCTCCTCCTCCTTCATTATTATTATTATTTTGGTGCAACCTTTGTGGATTTCAACTTGGCTTTTGATCTGATTCTAAGGGAGAGGCTAAGACAAAAGCTTCGTGCATCCTCAATGAAATAGAAGATGGTTCCTGTTTATCTAGGCACTTTATTCTAAAGCCTCATGGAGTGTCGGATCTTTTCCCTTGGAGACATCCCTTTCCACCCGCAAGAGGAGTAAGGCAAGGGTGTATTCTGGTCCCCCCATTACTTTTTAATTAGCACATCAATTCCATTATTCAGGCTGTCTCACATCTTCTAATCATCACTCTTTAATGTTTTAGCAGATTTTGGCTATTCCAGGCTTGCTATATTGCAGGCAATCTAGTAATTTTGTCTTATCTTCTCCCGGATGGGAATGAGGAGGTCTTTGAGGGCATTGGCTTCCTTTTGCCTTAAAGTAGGGGTCTCCAAGCTTGGCAACTTTAAGACTTGTGGACTTCGACTCCCAGAATTCCTCAGCCAGCAAAGCAATTTTTAAGACTTGTGGACTTCAACTCCCAGAATTCCCAGCAAAGCTGGCTGAGGAATTCTGGGCGTTGAAGTCCACAAGTCTTAAAGTTGCCAAGCTTGGAGACCTCTGCCTTAAAGAACAACTTGTAGTAAACAATCGATAGTCCTCTACTTGCAACCATTTATTTAGCGACCATTTGAAGTTACAACGTCATTGAAAAATGGGACTTACAAAACCTTGCAACTGTCACATCTGATCAAAATTCTGGCGCTTGGCAGCTGGCATGTACTTGTGACGGATTGCAGCATCCCGGGGTCACCAGCCTCCTCAGCTGGCTTCCAACAAGCCAAGTCAATGGAGAGGAGCCCAAATTTGCATAACAACTGCACTGATTAGTTTAATCACCATTGCAAAAGAAAGACTGGTCAGGTTGGGCACAATGGATGTAATCCTGCCTCGCTTTAGCAAATGGAAATTCTGATCAATTGTGGTTGCAAATTGAGGGGCTTACCTCTATCAAAAATCGTTGTAGTGTTTGTATGAAACAATATTAGGTTACATAAATAGCAAATTAATTGGGTGTGGTACATCCAGTAGATGTGGTACATCCTTTTAAACATTTTGGGGTGCGGTTTCAAGCTTCCTTATCTTGGGGGACATATTTCAGTTTTTGGGCAAGAGTGACCCAATGTAACTTCACAGCTGTCTTTGACATTTTCTATTTAAAGGAGGGGGGGGACACATTTTATTCCTGCAGCTTGCAAGGTTTTTCTTGCTGAGGTCATCTCTCAGCTTCTTTATGGTATTTCAATTTGCATTTCGACAAAGTTTAATATCCTGGAAACTTTCCAATCCAAATTTATAACGGCAGCAATCTCAGCTCCACGATGCACCAAGAATGCTATTTTACGGTTAGAGACAGATTTGGTTTCTATGGGTGCCAAACCACAGTTTTATCTTCTTAATTTCCGGTTGACATTGATTTTTTTTTTCCTTCTCTCCCCTGATTCTCGTAGACCGTTTTAAATCAACTTGGCTAAGAAAAGGAAATGGCAAACTCCCAGTCCTTAGTACTTTGGGGGAAAGCATCTGTCCATTAGGGCTTGAAAATGCCAGTAGCCATCTTAAACTATAGGATACTGGCTCGATCCCTGTGCTTTGCTATGAAACTATGCTGGCTTAATTTTGGAGGAGGAAAATAAGGGGAAAAATTTGTGCCTCTGCCTACCAGCATCCATTAGTATTCATCTGGCCAGCCTCCTGTCAGTGTGTGAGAGAGTTGAGGGCTGTTTGGAAACTGAAACAGTATTTGCTGTGTGAGGAGACAGCAAGGAGCCTGGGCGTGGCTTAGCTCAACTTCTGTATTAAAGCTGCTTGGTGCTGTGAAACTAAAAGTGAAGCTTCTCTCCTCTGCTTGTGTTTTGCATTTGGTACAGATTTCTTTTGAGGTGGGGAGGGGGAGTAGAACTCCTTAGCATCAGAGCGTGTTAATAATAATATACAAAATGCTAATGCTCTGATGGTCATTTCGAAAAATCCTTTCTTAGGGAGCACCTAGAAGCCAAATTTCAAGTTTGTAGGCTTTACAGTTCTGGAGGTTTTGTGATGATGCATGACTGGTGTTTTGTTTTATATGTATAGAAGAAGATTGATACTAACAAAGGAAAATATTTGTAGCTCAGGGTTGACATGAGGGGGTCCTTGGTGGTCTCTGAGCTTGCTGGTTTTCTTGCAGACGTTTCATTACCCAGCTAGGTAACATCATCAGTGCTAGTGTTGGCATACTGATTTTCGTACCAGTGTAAGCCTAGTATCCAACCCTACGGTTTGTGGATTCGTCTCAAATAGGCAGGTGCCATCACCATACCTAATTCTGAAATTTTGTCAGGCCAGGGTGGATGCAGTACCCTCAGCAGTCCTGTGGAGGTGACACAAAAACATTCCTTTTCAGCCGTATTTATGTTTACGTGGAGAGAAAGGCTCATCTAAGCCAGATGCTCTTTTATTGCCCTCTGTAGGGAATCGAGGAAGAGACATATATGGACCCCATTTTAAACAATTTGCTGTGTAAAAAGCACAATCTCCGCCACTGTTTTTGTCTGTCTGCAACCCGGACAGATCCTTATTCCAGGTTGTCCAATGCTATCATTGTCCTGTCCGTCCTACCCACAGGGTTGAAATTTAACACACATTTGGGTCGGCCCAAAAGTGCTTTTCCAAACGGCGACTGGGATTTCTTGGTTATTTCCTTGAAAGCCGTTTTTGTTTCTTAACCGAAGAAGCTTCTTCAGAAGAACTGAACTCCCGAAGAACCAAAGAAGCTTCTCGGATGAGAAGTTAAAAAGGTTTTCTAGGGGTGGAGGAACCCCAAGAAAGTCCAGTTATCATTTTGGAAAACCATCTTTGGAAAAACGTATGACCTGGAGGATTGAGGATCTCTGCAGACATTCACACCTTTTGGTGACTGCCAGTGCCATTTGTATCTCAGTTAGTGTACATTAGACACTAATAGTATATCTCACATACTTTTAGTGCAGTTTTTTTTAAAAAATAAAGCTTTGTTCATAGTGTCAGGTCTCTGTATTTGATGGCTGTGCTTTTCTGGCCCCTGAGCCCTGATGAAGGCTTTGATTTGCTCCCTCAGCTACTGTGTCCAGGTGTGGCAAACAGTGCTTGCTTGTGACCTCATCGGTGGCTGCTAAGGATCTGCCTTCCCTTTCCTCCCTCCTGCAGCCACCCACCCTGGGCGTTTAGGGCCAGGAGGAAGAAAGTGCTTCCTCCTGGCCTCAGCCCTGTGGTAGGGCGGGAGGGAGGGCGAGCCCGGGAGGAGGAGTGCCAAGCTTTGAAAGACATGGCAGCTGGCTTCCAGGAGGTTAGCCCCCTGTCATGGGTAGAGTGAAGCCCTCGCCAAGGACGAGTTGTTGGTGGTTGACTTCAGGCCTTGACGTGGTCCACGGGCAGCTGGCACTTCCTTTTCCTGACTTCAAGATTGTCTCTCCTTGTAAGTTATCTGGTGGGCCGGAATCCCTTTTACATTGTTGAGTTAGCCTGTCAAGTGGGATTACTAGAGAAGTCCATAGAAGCCGAGAAACTACAAGCGGTGATGATATACCCAGAGAGTTTTAACAACCCGAGGAGCGGTAGCTTGAAATCCATGCTAAGCATCCGCAGGCATTATTGCTCACGGTGTCATTTTTTGTACGGCTGTTCTTGGAACTTAACTATGCTGAGCTGAAGGATTTGGGGTAGGGGGTGGTGGTGGGGAGAATGTTGGATCCATTAAGGCAGACTTCTCTCCAACTTTTCCGGCCTTGTGGACCGGCCGGAGTGGGGAGAGAGGAGATTGTTCTGGGCGAGCAGTGGTCAAGCACATGCGCAGCTCTGCTTGCCCAAGCGGTGGGCACCTGCGCCCACCTCTCGCACAGATGGAACACGCTTGCACGTCCAAGTGAGGATTTGCAGAAGTAATCGCCTACCCCTTCTGCAACCTGGTTCCAGATGGTAGTGGGCCTCGGCCCAAGAGTTAGGGACCCCCTGCATTAAGGATTATGGTTGATGCCTGTATCCAAAGAGTTGGACTACACTTGCGGTCAGAGCTCCGGTAGTTACCCCCATTTAAATCACGAGTCTCTAGCCAGATTTTCAAAGCTTAAAGATTTATTAGGAGTAAACCTGCCGGTGCTTTGAGTTGCCACCCAAAATGCTTGTAGGCATTTCTCCCAAGCTTTGTCTACCCTGCGTAAACCATGTTTTCTCTCTCTCTCTCTCTCTCCCCCCACCCTTTGGTCCGGCAGATCCGAATACGAGATCCAAATCAGGGTGGCAAAGATATCACAGAGGAAATAATGTCTGGCGCTAGAACTTCTTCTACCCCAACTCCTCCTCAGGTAAGTTTCTTTCCTCGGTTCCATTCCTCTTTCCAAACGTGTCCCACCTTGGCTTGATAAGAAGTACATTTCTTCTGGTGTTTATAATACAAAAGCTCCGGGACTAAATCACAGCCAGCATTCGCTATGGGTGAGCACTAGCAATCCATCCTTGATGCCGGAAGAAGAACAGAGTTGGAAGAGACCTTGGAGGTCTTCTAGTCCAATCCCCAGCTTATTAATGTAGATTTGTGCGTACAGTGTAAAGAGTTCGATTTGAAATCCCTACACATGCAGCCGCCTTCTCCTCCCTATCCAGCTGTTTTCCAATCCCTTAAAGTTAGTACAAAGAAATGGGTGAAGTTGTCCCTTCTTCTGCACCCAGGGAGGCCGTGACTCTGACCAGATATTAAAAAGTCCATGCCACTCAATAATTCAAAAGCTTCTTGCAGTTCAGCTTTCCTCCCAATCTCTTAATAGGTTGAAACTGCTCTTTTGGAATTCCTAACAAGAAAATTCTAGGAATTGCTGCCTCAGCATCTAGAGGTTTGCGTTCATCTACATGCGATGTAGCTAGAATCAATTATCTGCTCATTCTCGTGTGTGTGTGAGAGGGAGAGGGAGGGGGAGAGATATATTCATATTTGTTTTCTTGGTCTTGCTAATACTTCTTCCCTCAAATAAAAGAGGATTTAGGAAAATGGGGGAGATTACAATTATCAATGTTAGGGAGAATTGCTACTATCAAAATGAACATCTTGCCAAGAATACTATTTCTCTTTCAAACTATTCCAATTAAATTAGATAAAAAAATTATTTAATGAATTGAGTAAAATTACCATGAAATGTATTTGGTCAGGGAAAAAAGTGAGAATAAAATTAAGTTCAGATGCAGAGGTGGATTTGGACTCCCTGCCTGGGAAATATACTATAAAGCAGTAGTTTTAACATGGATTAAGGAATGGGCCAATCTGAGAAATAAAAGAATTTTAACCCTAGAAGGGCACGATCTAGAGGAAGGGGTGGCATGCCTTCATGTGGAACCCTGGAAATAAGAGATATACACACTTTAATAGACATGTAATTTGAAGCTCATTATTAAAAGTGTGGAAAGAGATTAAACATAAACATTATATGAAGATTCCAGGATGGGTTTCTGTTATGGAGGCATTGATCCACTCCAATGCCTTTGAAACTGGAAGAAAGATTAGGTATTATGATGTCCTAAATTGCCAGGGAGAATTAAAGATGAACCAAGAACTCAGAGAACCAAGGGATGAAAATAGAGTGGTGGCCATATTTACAACTCAAGATGAGAAATAAAAAAGATATAGAAGAATTTGGAATTGAGGTAAAATCGAACCAATCAGATAAAATATTAGAGGGGATGGATGAAAAAATAATTTCTAAAATGTATAATTATCTATTAGAATTTGAAATGGCGGAAGAAATAGTTAAAGGCCCAATGATCGCATGGGCACGGAATGTAGGGCACAACATTAATTTGGAAGATTGGGAAAATATCTGGAAACAAAATTATAAAATAACAAAATCTGTTGTTTATAAAGAAAACCAATACAAAATGTGTTATCGGTGGTATCTGGCACCTTCAAGGTTAGCGAATATGTACCCAAATTTAAATCCAACTTGTTGGAAATGTAAACAAATGACGGATACCTTCTTTCACGCTTGGTGGCTTTGCCAAAAAAGTAAAAAGTACTGGAAAAAAATTTAGAATTTGGATAAAAGAAATTACAAATATACAACTAGAATTCAAGGCCAAAATATTTTTTGTTGGGAATGTTAAAAGGGCACTATGCAAAAGAAATGAAATACTTAATTCTCCATATAATCATGGTAGCAAGAATTGCATTGGCACAATGCTGGAAAGGTGACCAAATGCCAATAAATAATTTGATAATTCAGAAAGTTCTTGACTGCGCTGAAATGGACCTACTTACACAAAAACTTAGAGATGAGGTAGACTCAAAATATACTACAGCTTGGGGAAAATGTTACAATTGGATGAAGGAGAAAAACCAGGAAATTAAAAGATAAGGATTTGAAAAATGAAATGGTTAAACTGAGAGCATATACCAAAAATAGAAAATGAATATTAGTAAAATTGTTTTCAATAAATGATCACACCATCTTGGCTGATCAAAAATATACACTGCTCAAAAAAATAAAGGGAACACAAAAATAAGACATCCTAGATCTGAATGAATGAAATATTCTTATTAAATACTTTGTTCATTACATAGTTGAATGTGCTGACAACAAAATCACACAAAAATTATCAATGGAAATCAAATTTAGCAACCCATGGAGCTCTGGATTTGGAGTTACACTCAAAATTAAAATGGAAAATAACACTACAGGCTGATCCAACTTTGATGTAATGTCCTTCAAACAAGTCAAAATGAGGCTCAGTAGTGTGTGTGGCCTCCACGTGCCTGTATGACCTCCCTACAACGCCTGGGCATGCTCCTGATGAGGTGGCGGATGGTCTCCTGAAGGATCTCCTCCCACACCTGGACTAAAGCATCCCCCAACTCCTGGACAGTCTGTGGTGCAACGTGGCGTTGCTGGATGATGTCCCAGGTGTGCTCAATTGGATTCAGGTCTGGGGAACAGGCGGGCCAGTCCATAGCATCAATGCCTTCGTTTTGCAGGAACTGCTGACACACTCCAGCCACATGAGGTCTAGCATTGTCGTGCATTAGGAGGAACCCAGGGCCAACCGCACCAGCATATGGTCTCACAAGGAGTCTGAGGATCTCATCTCAGTACCTAATGGCAGTCAGGCTACCTCTGGCGAGCACATGGAGAGCTGTGCGCCCCCCTAAAGAAATGCCACCCCACACCATTACTGACCGACTGCCAAACCGGTCATGCTGGAGAATGTTGCAGGCAGCAGAACCTTCTCTATGGCATCTCCAGACCCTGTCATGTCTGTCACATGTGCTCAGTGTGAACCTGCTTTCATCTGTGAAGGGCACAGGGTGCCAGTGGCAAATTTGTCAATCTTGGTTTTCTCTGTGCAAATGCCAAACGTCCTGCACGGTGTTGGGCTGTAAGCACAACCCCCACCTGTGGATGTCGGGCCCTTATACCACCCTCATGGAGTCTGTTTCTGACCGTTTGAGCAGCCACATGCACATTTGTGGCCCACTGGAGGTCATTTTGCAGGACTCTGGCAGTGCTCCTCCTGTCCCTCCTTGCACAAAGGTGGAGGTAGCGGTCCTGATGCTGGGTTGTTGCTCTCCTACGGCCTCCTCCACGTCTCCTGATATACTGGCCTGTCTCCTGGTAGCGCCTCCATGCTCTGGACACTACGCTGACAGACACAGCAAACCTTCTTGCCACAGCTCGCACTGATGTGCCACCCTGGATGAGCTGCACAACCTGAGCCACTTGTGTGGGTTGTAGACTCCGTCACATGCTACCACTAGAGTGAAAGCACCGCCAGCATTCAAAAGTGACCAAACCATCAGCCAGAAAGCATAGGAACTGAGAAGTGGTCTGTGGTCACCACCCGCAGAACCACTCCTTTATTGGGGATGTCTTGCTAACTGCCTCTGCTTTCCACCTGTTGTCTATTCCATTTGCACAACAGCATGTGAAATTGATCGTCAATCAGTGTTGCTACCTAAGTGGACAGTTTGATTTCACAGAAGTGTGATTGACTTGGAGTTACATTGTGTTGTTTAAGTGTTCCCTTTATTTTTTTGAGCAGTGTATATGTTTTATGTCAATATTTGTATTTGTATATTGGTTTCGTTT